TTATATATATATAAATAATGGAAACTTTAAGTTCAAAACTGGATGCACAAGCATCATACATTCATTACATATTTTTAGAACATAAGCTTTTCGTTTATACACTCCTGAAGAGTAACACAACCATTCCCCCATAATATTTGACCTCTTAGAAATCAGAAGAGCTTAACTTACCTTTAAAAGAATCATCTGCCCTTTAACTTCAGAACATACCAGAGGACGCTTACTGCTAAGTTCTTTCATAGGTTCAGCATCAAGAAGATCCCGTTCTAAGCTCATAGTAAGAAGACCAGAAGAGTTCTAGGGGCAAATTTTTGTTACAGCTGAGTATCCAAACAATCCTAGAACTTTTAAATCATGAATACAGTTAAATGTTCTTAGAATGTGTTGAGCATCATCAACTATTGGACAAACCAGTAAAATAAAAATGTTTAAATGTATTTTTCCCAGTTTCTGGCTCTTTAACCACTCCCATCTAAAGTATAATCACATACATTTAACTACTACTACTACCAGAACTATAAGGGAGCTCTGGTGACCCAATGGTTAAGAGTTGCACTAGCAACCCAAAGGTACACAGCTCAAACACATAAATGCTCCATGGAGAAAAGGGCAATTTTCTCCTTTGTATTAACTACCTCTAAAAACCCACTAAAGGGTCAGCTATGGGTTGGTTCAGACTCTACGGTACACAACAACAACACAGATCTGTAAGAGGAGCTCTGATGTCATAGTCTTTAAGGAATTGCACTATTAACCCAAAGGCTATTCCTCTCTGGCAGTTCAAATCACTATCAGCTCCTCAGGAGAAAGAGAGAGTGTGATTTTATGGACTTAGAAAACCAACAGAGGGTCAGCTGCGAGTCGATTTTTAATCAATGACAATGAGTAAATGCCTATAATAAATACTGGAGATGACTAAAGACTATTAAGATTGCATCCTAGGAACTCAGAAGTTTACTTGAAAAATTCCCATGTTTCTTGAAAGTACTAAAAGGATGACTTAAAATCTGGACTGTAGAATGGAATGAGAAATTTGTAAATTGGCTAGTAACACTTTTGTTACTGTTCATACTGAAAACAGCTTTCATGTATTTTAATTCTACTAGATATTCCTGCTACATGTTAAAATTAGTAATTTTTACACTACAACTAGATATTCAACATCTTAAATCAAGTTAAGTCTTATTGTAAGATGGTTTTAGCAAGAAGGGTTGTAGGTGTTTTCTGTGCTTTATGAAACTGATTTAATTAATCTAGTATTTGGTATAATCAGTGACTATAAAGAGAGATTCCGAAGCATAAATTACAATTAAACATCTTAAAGTCATTAAAGACTTTCATCCTAAGCCATGATTTAAATCTTTTTGCAATATTCTACAATAAATGAGGACAATCTATTTTTAAATATGGGAAGGTGTATAAATTTCAGGACCTACATATTCACTACATAAGATTAAGAGATAGTTATTACATAAGCCTGTTGTTTCAAGACACTTACAACTCAGTCATTAAAGACAGTTTAAAAAATCCTAAAAGAAAAAGTCACATAATTTAAAATGTTTCTAAACTCTTCAAAGACATTACAGTTAATGTATCATAATTTAGACTTTAATCTTACATATTCATGATAAATCATGTCTATATCAACATCCTTTCTGTATTGCATCTAAGCTATATAACTGTGGACTTCATGACAGTTGTAAGAAATGGTTATCTAAAAAAAAACAATAGAATTCTGTTGAAACACTTGGAAAAAAGTATCTCCTCAAGAATAAAAATATTAAGTCTCTCATTCTTCACAAGCCAATAGAAAACACAGGGAGCTCTGATGGGTTAGTAATAAGGAATTGTGTTGTCAACGCAAAGGTATGTGGTTTGGATCCACCAGCTGCTCTGCAGGACAAAGATGGACAATCTCCTCCCATGCAATTCACTGACCTAAAAAACTCACTTTATGTGGTCAGTTTTCACTCAGGGGTACATAATAGCAACAGATTCTGCGCTGAGCACAAGTTTACCAACCTTGCTCCATGCTATCCCTTGGACACAATGATCTCTCGGGCGCTGAATCCTATCTACCTTTCCATTCACTGTTACTGTTGTTGTTGTTGTTGTTTGCAGTCAAGTCACCTGTGACTCATGACTACACTATGTACAACAGCCCTAACCCCTGCTCTATCCTGTGCCAGTATTATTGTCTCTGATACATATACCCCCCATTACCCATCACTGAATCAATCCATCTCATCAAGGGTCTTTCACTTGCACTGTCCCTTCACCATCCCAAGTACGACGTCCTTCTCCAAAGACTGATCCTGCCTTGCAACATGTCCAAAGTATGTCAGACGAACCTTCAGAATCCTTGCCTCCAAGGAACAGCCTGGCTTCACCTTCTCCAGAATGAACTTATTTGTTCTCTTAGCAGTTCATGGTATATAAAATACTCTTCTCCAGCACCACAGCTTAAAGATATCAATTCTCCTTCTATCATCCCTAGTCATTGTCCAGCTTTCCAATGCATAGCAAATAACTACAAAGACCATGGCCTGTATCAGGCACACTTTAGTCTCCAGACTGACACTGTTTCTCTTCAGGTTTGGAGAGGTCTTTGACAGCAGACTATCCAAATGCAATTCATCTTTCAATTTCCTGGCTGATGGTACCAAGGGTGTTGATTTTACAGCCAATACCTACATCAAAATCTCCGCCTTAATTTCCCTAGAATCTTCTCCCAACATGCTTAAACTTACAATGTATTTTGTTTACAGCCTCATCAAAAAGTCAAAATCCTTGCCATTCAGTCGAAAGCGGTTCATAGCTGACTCACCAGTGGGTTTCCAAAGCTGTTCATTGCATAGGAGGATACTGCTCATTTTTCTTCCATGGAGGCACTAGTGGATTCAAACCACCAGAGAGGAAAAGCAAGGCTTTGGGTTAGCAGCACAATTCCCTATGGACTATGCCATAAGAGCTCCTTAAATTCCTCATAGCTAGCATTGTAGTTGTTGTTAATTGCCATCAAGTTGAGGTCGACTCTATGAACAAAAGACCTATAGCGACTCTATGAACAAAAGACCTAATGCCTTTCCATAGCTATTGTTGTTTCTCCAAGTTCATAGAGTTTCCAGAGGCATGTGGTTTAAGAAGTTGATGCCACTCCTCCTTCCCCACCTGTTTTACAACTAGGAACTCCATCAAACACTGTCCACAATGGGAAACCTTTCTGGTATTTGATATCCCCATGGCACAAGGTTCTGCACCATAGAAAACCCAGGTTCTCTCATATAGCACAATGACAAAGAAAGAAGTGCAAAGTGGAAGAAAGTTCTTCCAGATATAACAGCACTAGTATCATTTAGCAGTGGTTAAGTGTTGTTGAGTCGAATATGACTCAGAGTAAGCTTTGCATAAAAGACCTGAACTCAACCTGAACTCTATTCTATGATTAACATCATTTCTGTACAATTATAAGAGTAGCTAGCATTGCACTCTAATTTTATCCTAACTCTTCATACAGAAGTTAAAAATTATTTCATGATCACTTTAAAAAACAGAACTCTGTAGTCTAGTGGACAGAGCTGCACTGCCAATCTAAAGGTAGACATTCTGAATCCACCAGCTACTCTGTTGGGAGAGTGAGTCATCTTCTGTGCAATTTACAGCCTCTGAAAACCCAATAGATAGTCAACTATGAGTTGGTTCCAGCAAAACAGCAATGAGGTGAGATTCAAAAAATAAGTACTTATTACTCAAATAGAGTGGGCTAGGGGCTGCACTGCAATACTAAAGACAACATAGTTTGAAACCACCAGGTGCTCCCCTCCAATGTGATTTTCTGCCACTGAAAATCTGCTGGAGGGTCACTTATGAGTCAGTTCCAACTCAAGAACAAAAACCAAGAACATGATTCAATTAAGTGGAATGCAATGTACGGAATGGCATAAGGAAAAGGAAAAAACACAAAAATCAACACGAAGTAAAAAATATACACCATGCCACTATTAATGATAATCTTTGGAAAATTTCTATAACATTCAGAAGTATTTATAAAAAATTTTAAAGCAGGCTTAATATAAATACAAATACAAGATTTTAATAGTATCACTTTTCAATACAATGCAAAGTAGAATGCTCAGTGAAACCACAATTTACCATGTATTTATGCAATCCTATTTCAGGATGAAGTAGAGGCAGCTCAGGGAACCAGTTCTGTGCCAAGCTATCCAGTTTTGCCTAAATTTTAAAAATATGTATAGTTATAAATTAGTATATATCATTTCAAACTATTCTTCAGGAAAAAATACATTATCATCCTGTCTCATAATATATCTAACAAAATACAAAATTTTTTCCTTGTACTTCAAGAAACAGTAATTAAAAAGTCATTGTAGACCCAAATTATCATTTTACCAACAGAAAAGAATCTTTAACTTCTAACTTTAAGCTTTATGTACACATTATAACCAATAATTTTGTCTAGGGTCAAGAGCCACAGCTCATTTCCTGATACTGTATTGGAAAAGTTTGATAAAATGTCAATTTAAAGAAACTACCTATTTCTCAAAATATTAAGATGACAGCAACATTTTAAAATAGTTTCTTTGGAAGGAAAAAAATCCACATAAACTTTGAAAGAAAAAAAAATACAGAACTGCAAAAGTCATTTTGACAAAATTATGCAAATTGAAGGTCACTGAAAGAATTTCTCACATTAAGCACTGTTGTTGTTTGGTGACATTGAATATAACTCATAGCGACACTATGTCTACAGACTTGAATCCTGTCCTATCTTGTGCCATCCTCACCATTTCTTGAATACCTGAGCCCACTGTGGCAGTCACAATGCAAATCCATCTCAAATGGAGGTCTTCCTTTCTTTCACTGACCTTCTACCTTTCCAAACATGATGTCCTTTTCCAAGGAATAGCCTCTCCTAACAGAAAGTATGAGATATGAAATTTGTCATCCTTGCCTCCAAGAAGCACTCCAGCTGCACTTTTTTTAACATATACCTGTTCATTCTTTCAAAAGTCCACAATATTCCTTTTCTTTTCCAACACCATAGTTCAAATGCACAAATTCTTTTCCTGTCATACTTACTCACCTTCCGGCTCTCAGATACAAAGCAAGTAAGTGAAAAGAACACAGCCTGAATCAGGTGCACTTTAGTCTTCAAACTGACACTGCTGTTCTTCAGTATTCTGGGGAGGTCCCTGACAGATTTGCCCAAAGCAACATGCTTCCTTATCTCCTGACTGCTGATATCAAGGATGCTGATTGTGGATCCAAACAAGATAAAATCATTATTAACAATCCTTTCTCCATCTATCATGATGTTGCCCACTGGCCCAGCTGGAAGGACTTCTTGATATTAAGGATGCAACTGCTGTTAGTGGAAAGGTCAATATTAGGATGTAAACCATATAGAAGTTTGCAGTTTTTTTATCTTCTGCAACAAGCTATTCAGTTCCCCCTATCTTTCAGGAAGGTTATCTGTATAAATGAAGATTGTTGATGAGTCTTCTGCCAATCCTGATGCCACAGTCCTCTCCAGAGAGTCCAATTTTGCCAATTATTTGCTCAGCATAGAAGAATGAATACATAGGGGAAAAGGATACACAATTGAGGCACACCCTTCCTGATTTTAAACCACACAAGTTACCTTGTTCTGTTTGGATTAGCAGCCTCTCGGGTCTAGGTACAGATTTTACACAAGCTCAATTATTTGTCTGGGATTCCCATTCTCAGTGTTAGCCATAGTTTATAGTGATTCACACAAATGCCTTTGCATAGTCAATACAGTACAGACAGACATTTTTATGATACTATCAGCAAGGATCCATATGACATCAGCAGTTATATTTGTGGAGGCACAGACTCTTCTAAATCTAGCCTGAAGAACTTCTGGCAGTTCTCTGTCAATGCACTGTTCCAAGAGGTTCTGGATGATCTTCAGAAGTATTTGCTTGCAGGTGGTATTAATGATATTTATCAAGAATTCCCACATTCTGTTATATAATCTTTCTTGGAAATAAAAACAAATACCTTCCAGTCAAATAAACAAAAATCTGTCCTTCAAGTTTCCTGGCATAGACTGATGAGCATGTCCAGGGTTGTATCTGTTAGCTGAAAAATATCAATTGGCACCCAGTCTATTCCTGGGGCTTTATTTTTTTGCCAGTGTTCTTAGTGCAACTTAAATTTCTAAGTTTTCTTTGCCTCTTGTTCATATGCTATTTCTGAAAATTTTTCAATGTCTATCAGTTCTTTTTGGTACAGTGACTCCTCTATTCTTTCTATTGTATTTTAATACTTCCTGGATCATTCAAGATTCAAGATACCATCCAGAGAAATAACATGTGCATAATGGGAATCCCAGAACAGGAAGAAGCAAATAAAGGCACTGAAAAAGTTGTGGAAGAATTATTAGAAGAAAATTTCCCAGGCATGATGAAAAATGAGAGAATATATATTCAAGAAGCTGAGAGAACACCGTAATACAGAACAGACCCCAAAAGAAAAACACTAAGACATCATAGTCAAAACTGCCAGAACAAAAGATAAGGAAAGAATTCTGAAAACAGCATTGGAGAAACAAAGAGTAACCTATATGGGAGAGCAAATAAGATTAAGCACTAATTTCTCAGCAGAAACCATATGAGCAAGAAGCCAAGGGAATGATATATATATCAAACACTCAAAAACACAACTGTCAACCAAGAATATTATACTCAGAAAATTTTTCCACCAAATATGAATGAGAGATTAAGATATTCCCAGAAAAACAGAACTTAAGGGAGTTCATAAAACCAAGACCAGTACTGAAGGAAACACTTGAGAAACATCCTTCTTACAGAGGTGCCAAAGAAAGCAGGATGGATCAAAGTAACTAACACCACCACCAAAAAGAACTCAACAAAGGAGAGCAAAGAAACCTTATCTCTCAGTAATCACATAGCATGTGAATGGTTTAAATGCACCCTTAAAGCAACTCAACAGCACACAACAACAACAAAGAAAAAAAGGGGAGTAGACTGGATAAAAAAAAAATCCATCAATATCCTGTCTACAAGAGACACACCTGAAAAATGAAGATAAAGGCACACTAAAAATAAAAGGGTGGGAAAAAAATATACCAAGCAAATGGCAACCAGAAAAAAAGCAGGAGTGAGATATTAATTTTCAATAAAACAGATTCCAGATCAAAAACCATCATAAAGGACAAGGTCACTACACAATGACTAAAGGGTCAATAGAACAAGAAGATAAAACAATAATAAATATTTATTCACCAAATCAAAGACCTGAAAAATACATAAAACAAACATTAACAAAACTGAAAAAGAAAGTAAATAACACAACCTAGTAGTTGGAGACTCCAATACACCTCTCTCAAGAAAAGAGAGACCTTCCAGGAAAAAAAAACTCAAAGATGCTGAAAAATTAAACCACACAATAAATCAACTCAATCTCATATATATGTATAGGCTAACGCACGCAAAAAGCACAGTACACTTTCTTCTTTAATTTCCATGGAACATTCTTCAGAATAGATCACATTTTAGGTCACAAGGCAAGCATCAATTAATTCAAAAGCATAGAAATAATACAAAGCATCTTCTCAGACTACAATGCCACAAAATTCAAAATTAATAACAAAAGGAAAAAATAACACATTTGGAAGCTGGAAAACACCTTTCTTGAACATTAGTGGGTATTAGAAAAAATAAAAAATGAAATTAAAAAGTTTCTTTAAATAAATGATAATGAAAACACAATTTACCAAAACCTCTGGGAAACAGCCAAAGCAGTAATTAGAGGTTAATTTATAGCAATAAGCAAACACATTAAAAGACAGAAAAAAATGATCAATGACTCTATAACCCAACATCTCAAACAAATTTTATAAGAACAGGAAGAAAACCCAACACCATAAAAAAAAAACGGAAATTATAAAAATTAGGGCAGAAATAAATGAAATAGAAAACAGAAAAAAAACTGAAACCATTAACAAAACCAGGAGTTGGTTCTTAAAAAAGGTCAATAAAATTGACAAACCACTAGCAAAACTAACAACAGAAAAGAAGGAAAAGACACAAGTAATCTGATTAAGGGATAAAATTGGCAATGTCACAACAGAACCAACTAAAATTAAAAGGGTAACAATGGAATATTATGAAAAACTATACTCAAACAAATATGAAAACCTGGAGAAAACGGACAAATACTTAGAAAATCACAACCTACATAAACTGACACAAACCGAAACTGAACACCTGAACAGACAGATCCATTACAAAAGAAAAAAATTTAAAAAGTAATAAAATAATTCCCAGTCAAAAAGAGTCCCAGACCAGATAGTTTTACAAATGAATTTTATCAAACATTCAGAGAACTGTCACCACTTCTACATAAACTATTTCAGAAAACAGAAAAAGATGGAATCCTCCCA